TCCGCATTTTACAACATTTCGCAACGAAACTTTGGAATATTACTAATTTTGTGATGCTCTTTCAAGCTGTGATGAAATTTTGGTCTAGATCAAAATTTAGTCTATAATGCAAATGGTCCATTGCACTGGGATATATCCAGAGAAACTAACAAGACGTTTCGTTTTGCGTGCGTGCAGTTACAGTGAGCTCTATAATATATCTGGAGGAAGAACTTTAGTCATTCGGTGAATGAGAAACTGAAGCCAAGATAGCACTAGGAATTGACTTCAAAGAATCCATGAAAGTCGTAAACAGTTCATCATTTGATGTGAACGTTTCTAAATAGATACGTTAAATTAAATTGCACAGGATAAATCCTGAGAAACTCTAAAGGCCCATTTACACGGTACGATTAGTTGTATACGATTCTTACCCTGGCGTATGTGATCGAATAAACACGCGTACAAACGTCACATTTCAAATTTCGCCATTAGCGAATGAGCAATAACGTGGCGTTAGCACTCGTTTTCATTCGTCAGAATGACAATCGTATACAACTAATCGTATCGTGTAAATGGGCCTTAACAAGACGTTTCGTTTTGTCACTTTGTGTGCGTGCAGTTACAGTGAGCTCTATAATATATCTGGAGTAAGAACTTTAAGGCAATTTTCCATTGCAGTCGCTTTGCCCGCACGGCGGAGCGAACAGTGCATTTTTTGTCCGCCTGAATGCTCGCGGACTCACGCCATGAAAGTAGAACTACATTCAACTTTCTTGGCGTGCCCGGGCGACTGATTTTTCACGTGATTAAAACCGGTCGCTCCGCCCGCGCGGGCAAGGCGACTGTAATGGAAAATGGGCTTTAGTCATTCGGCGCATGAGAAACTGAAGCCAAAATGGCAGGAAATGACTTCAAAGAATCCATGAAAGTCTTAAACAGTTTTGATAACATTTTTCATAGCTATACAAACGCCGAATCTTGAACAAATCCCGAAAAAAAATTTCCCACAGGGTTTTCGAAAACCCCAAAATCTCATAACGATTTTCAAAGTGAAACACCCCTCTCTTTTCTTCGGATAAAAGTAAGTGAAAAGTCAGTGACCTGTTATGATGGAGGAGGTCCCATACAAGGGTGGCGGAAGTTGATGAGGGCAAGGGGTGCGATTTGTTATCAATGGGCATCAGTTTTGTAAAAAATGATAGGGCACTTACCTACTTATAACCTAATTTAAAATCAAACACAAGCAATGAAGCAACCTTTTATTAATTTCAAACATTAAAATAAGGCACACAAAATTAGCAGAAAGTGTTTCTCTTTCTCTTCTACTGAAGAAAGTTCTGTGTGGTTGTTTACTATATATAAACTGCTCCAAAGTAACCTTTTCTTTGTGAGGATTTCGATATAATTTGTTTTTCTGCTTATTTGGTAACCACGCCAAATTTCTTAAACCCGCATTGAAATAACGCTTGATCGCTGGTCAGCTTCGAAAGATTACATCATTAATTATTTGTATACGATTGCACTTGATAAACCTGACGAGTTGCGATAAATTTAGGGGTTTACTTAAGTAATCTGTTTATGTTAAATTCGTTTTAAATCTTTTGTGCATCCGTTGCACCCATAGTTTGCACCCGCACTGCACCCAAACAATTATAACAGTACAAAAGGCATGGGGTGCACTTGCACCCGCTGCACCCGTGGTTCCAGCATCCCTGGTCCCATGCGCATGCAGGAGTGTCGCTATAGTCGTATTGAGGTAGTCGGCAAATTATTGAATCACAGTCGGTAAATTGTTTTCGTAGTTGGCAAAACATGAATTGGTTAGGAAAGAAAGGAACTAGAATATATGAGTTAGACTGATCAAAATCTAATAATTATAGGGAAGATTTTCGAAAACATTCATGAAAATTTGCGAAAACATTAATTAAGGACTCGGCAAATTTGCACCCCATTAAAGTGGGGCTAGCGAGACCCCTGGACCTTCGAGCTCCGACATTACATTGCTTTCTACGCCCTTGCACTTCATTTTACCCTAATGCTTCTCTCCCGACAGTTTTTGATAAAATAACAGAATACTCAACTCGTTTAATTTCAGCGAATCTGGCAAACATCTTGTCGTCATTCCACTCGTACGGCTGCAAGGTGTAGCCGTTGCCAATCTTCGCAAACGCATAGATCACGTGAGTGCACAGAGACGGATCCACATTCTCTGGGAAATACTTCATCGGTGCTGGCCTGTACTGGGACCAGTTTGTGTAGTAACATACACGGAAATGCTCTCCAGCGCTTGCCAAGGACACGCACGCGAACAGGAAAAGATAGAGGAACGACATTTTGATGTGATCGTTATCACCTTATAACCACTAATGAGCGATTAGAAACCGCGCTTTGGGTGCCTTTAATATATAGTGCCGCTCCTTCGTTGTCAGGGGATCAAATATTTTGTCAAAACCGAGAAGTTTGTCTTGCTTTCAGCTGTACAAAGTCGACTGAACAAAGATATGTTTCATTGATACGATTTGTTGACAATGCTGTGCTAGCAAATTTTATCATTCTAGCCCCGGTAGTCTATTCATCTGCTTTTCTGTTTGCATTTCATAATTTGAAATACATGGCAAACATACATGACACAAAAATCTTTTACCGTAGCGCCAACAATTTGGTTTTAATGTCATGCAAGTGATTTTGATTGATATACATAATTAGGCTTTGTCTTTAGTCGTATGAGCAGAAATCAGACTTTTCTACCCCTTCTGTTCTTCTTTTTTCCCAGATTCGAATAATCCCAATTTTTGATCTTGTTAAATTTAGGAAGCTTCTCTTACTAATTAACATTCTCACAAATCCCAGTGCTCCATCTTCATTTAAGCAAATGTTTAAATTCTTATCTTCTATTCGACAACGGTCTCTGACTAGAGCTTGCGCATACGACCTTCAAACCCCCTTCCAGCGTACTGACTCTGGTAAACGAACATTTCTGTACAGTGCTTCCATTCTTTTTAATTGCTTAGATAGCGATTGTAAGCAACTTGCTGCTTCGCCATCTTGCTCTTCACATACTAACGCCAAACAAAAAATTCGGAAAATCTTTCTTAACAAGCTTACCCTTATACTAACCATATCGAAGATCTATTTTGTATAAATTGTAAATATTTGCTAAATTGTAATTGTATTCATTACTAATTATTTTTTCTCAAATGTAAGTAGTCGTAATCCTTAATACTTTTTATGCCTGTAAATATCAAAATAGTGCGAGGGCCGTATGTTAGATAACTTTTACGGTTAATTCGTTTCCCCTCGTGAAATAAAGTTTCTATTCTATTCTATTCTATTCTATTCTATTCTATTCTATTCTATTCTATCAGGGTGGAATATATGACTGCATGGATGACTATGCAATGAACAAAAACAATTCCCTTTAGTTTTTTATTAGTCAGTGTTCTGGGCTTGTACTCAGCTCACGTCGGAAACTTTACTTTTTTCTCGTTTTGTCTTAATAACCTGTAATCATCGCAGCTGTAAACTAAAATAACTGAACTCATATGCCCTTTTTTGTTTGTTAAACTTTATTGAGTACAAATTAATTCAACAAATATTCATCTAAATATGCAATTAAAAAGTGCTGTAAACTGCTGTACTCAAACAGACAAGGCACAAACTGGACGTGTAAAGTCCATTACATGGTGCCCCTCCTCTTCCTAACATAGACCTTTTAATTAAGTCACAGTATACTGTACAGGGTGTCCCAAAAAACCCAAAACCACTGAAACAACGCACGGCTAGAATCCGAACGCCTCAGCACCAAACTGAACGCAAAGATAAGTAAAGTATGATCGACAGGGTGCATATATTGTGAGTATTTAAGAAATTCAAATATCTTTGGGGGGGGGGGGGCATAATTTTTAATTTTAATTTTTAATTTTTAATTTTTCCTTTTAATTCTATATATAGACATTCATTACGAGTTTTCGCCATGTTAATCTAACATGGCAGGCACAGTTTTTATTAAACGTTTGCATATTTAATCAAATATTTGACACGCCTATAGCATTCGGACTGCCCATGGTTGACATAGCTGAGAATATATACATATTGATTGCATTGATGAAATGATGTTTGATGATGTCTGATAATATTTCATCACAAGAAAATATATATTCTATCAAAAGTTTTTCTTTGATAAATTATTCCATCCTCCCTGACTTTCAAACACACTTGCAGTACCATAAATTCGCACAAATATCCAGACATCAGGCGATTCACTAGTCATTTTATTTAGGATACAAATTACATTACATGTAAATTTCAACTCTTTACAATATATAACTCATATTTATGTATATCTTATATATAGTAGTTGTAATTAATAGTGATTGTATTGTATATTTTATCTCACGGCCGGCACACCTTTATAACAGCCCAGCGGGCAAATTGACGTTGTTTCAATGTAGGCCTATATGATCTGTCAGGATCGAAGTTGAAACAACGTTGAGATTAGGTTGCGAATCTCGTCAACCATAATTTATAACAACTTTGTGTGCCCGGCGGGGTCTAACTATTAACACTGGAGTGTTTATATAATATCCTGTTTTAAATCTATTGATTAAACTAAACTAAACTAAACTGAATGATTATAAAATGTTTACAATAATAAGACTGACGTAAACAAAATCAAATTTGTTACTAGCAACGTAAGTGTAGAGGTTGATGCCGGAGCCTTGGATGGCGTTGTTGTCATGGTAACCGTGGTTTGAGCCACTGAACCGTTGACTGTTTGAGTTGTGTCTATTGTTGCTGGTGGAGGTTGAGTTGCCACAGTCTTGACTGTTTGGCTGTCTGTGCTGGGCAACGCCACGGACATCGGAGTTCCAGTGCTGCCGGAGGTCGTTGAGGGTTGTTGTGTAATGATGACCAGTGGAAGATCAATCTGTAGAATAAAGTTTGTCAATTTAGGGGCCGATTACATGGAGCATTTTCGACCCCGGGGTTGAACTCAGCCCTGTTTACCGGGTTGAAATTTTAGCCCTGTCTGTAATACAAAACTGTATCAAAATCAAACGCGCGATTACATGACAAAATTTTCAACCCAGGGCTGAGTTCAACCCCGGGGTTGAAATTTCAACCCTGCTTCAGCGAGCAGGGTCGAAATTTCAACCCTGGGCCGGGTTGAACTCAGCCCTGGGTTGAAAATTTTGTCGTGTGATCGTTTCAACCCAGGGCTGAAATTATCATGAGTTATTCGAGCATACGTGGTAATGACTATATTTATTTCAAGAAAACAAAACAAAGGCTTTTTTACTTCTGGGAATCGATGCCGAGAATGTATAGTATAGCGTTTCAACTCCGGGGTTGAAATCGCCCATGTAATCGCAAAAAATTTCAACAGGGTTAACAGGGATGAGTTCAACCCCGAAAGTTCTTTATGTAATCGGCCCCTAACCCAATTTTTCTGCGTTTTGAGTATGCACATAATAAGAGGGCCGTGAAGGGGTAAAATGGGAACTGGGATTGATCTATTTTTAGACTGGGAAAATGGGATTTGGGCACTGGGAATTGGAAATGAAGTCCTCAAAAATGGAAATGGGATTGAGGTAATGCGAGTCGATTCCCAATTTTTCTGCGTTTTGAGTATGCACATAAAAGAGGGCCGTGAAGGGGTAAAATGGGAACTGGGATTGATCTATTTTTAGACTGGGAAAATGGGATTTGGGTTGCTGGGACTGGGATTTGGCCACTGGGAATTGGAAATGAAGTCCTCAAAAATGGGAATGGAATTGAGGTAATGCGAGTCGATTCCCAATTTTTCTGCGTTTTGAGTATTTTAAAATACAATTTTGATCCGTTTTTGGTGTCTTTGGTCATGATTTTTGTTGTTAACTATATTATTCACAGCACTACCTGCGAACAGGCATACTCTGGCGCCCGGAATTCTGGGTTTCTGATTAATGCGTGTCTCAGAATGCTGCAAATGCCATTTTCGGGATTCAAATTTACAAATTTTCCGTGCCTTCGGCACGAGGCCCACCCTAATATTTCATAAAGTGTCCGCCACTTGCTTAAAAGGTCTTAAAACTGTTTATTCTACCGATAAATAAAGGGTTTTTTATTGACTGGGATTTCAATAAATGGGACTGGGATTTCTAATAAAAATCCAACTGGGACTGGGATTTTGCCAAAATTTCAGGTGAGAAATGGGATTGGGACCCCCCTTCAGGACCCTCCCTAAGCTATCAACTTATTACTTGCTGGATTTGGTGGGTAATCCAAATGAGGATATATATAAACAACTGTTTAAGACCCAACCCGGAACGGTTGCGAAGAATACAACACTTTGTCTTCTGGCAAGAATTGAAGCAACTTCAGAGAGAAATAATTGTACAGTCAGGAAACTACAAGTATTCCACTAGGAACTACTTGTATATTGAATATATGTACGGAGTTGCTTCGCAATTAAATAAATAATAGTAAATACCTCATCTGAGACAATTCCTTTCCAGTAATTAGCTTTATTGATAGCGACGGTTGCATGGAAACGGAATTTTGCAGTTTTTCCAGGGGTAGGCACCCACATAAATGTCACACTTTTCTTAGGTGTGATATCACTGTGCGTAGCGGTATCCTATAAAAGACGTTTTTAGAAGTACTTTAAAATTCTTCTGCATTCATTAGAGAGAAATGAACAAGCATATACCGGATTTTGGTACTCTCATGAAAAAATCCTGTAATATGCTCACAAACATGCTTACGAGCTCATGAGCACGCTCGTTAATGTCGTGAGGAATGTTGGTCTTAGTATAGTCATCGCCCAGGAAAATTTCGATAGCGGCCATTTTGAATTGTTTAATTTTCCCGGGCGCTGATTACTAAGACCAACATTCCTCGCGGGCATCAAGCCTTGTGACGTCATTATGTATAAGGTCTACTCGCATATGTTTGAAACTCAATCCTCGGATGGAATTTGAAACCTTATATATAGTATACGAGAGTCATACTTACCGCGTCTTGTGTGCATTTTATAAGTTGAGTGTGATCAGGAGGACTCTGAAAATTTGCCAAAGGCGTATTGCTTCCGACTTCTCTTGCTTGTAGCATAAACCCTTGAAAGTCAGAGTTATCACTCGATGATACTGTGACATGAAGTACAGCAGGTAAGATTCGCTGTACGCTGATTGTGAACGGATTATTTCCAGTCAACTGCATTCCGTGGCCTGGCGTTAGGGTGGGACAGGCCTTCGGAGGCGCACCAGTTTCATACGCATGGCCCTCTCGTACGGACAACAGTTTAACTAATACTAGAATAGCATAAACGCACTTCGTCATCATGTTGTTGTTTAATCTTTGAACTGTCTTCGAGGACTATTAGGAATGTATAGAAACTCTTCCTGAACCGCCTTTCCTGTCCAACTTAATTCCAAATTCGCGAATGCTAATCGTTGAAACTCAGCTTGTCCTATATATATATATAATGTGAGTATAGGAGTAATATGTGAAGAGATTTTTTTTCGCATGTTATGTAACACGCACTCAAAACTATAATGATTAATGTCTTAATGAGTGCAATTACTACTTGGTTATATAACTATATATATAACTATATATATATATATATATATATATATATATATATATATATATATATATATATATATATATATATATATATATATATATATATATATATATATATATATATATAGATATATATATAAATTAAGGTACAACAAATCAACAAAATCCACTAGGCATCTTTATTACTAAATAGTTTCGTACCACAGTATGTGGCACTCTTCAGATAAATTGACCTAATAACCAATTGTGATATCATCCCTCGAGCGATAAAACTGATATCACCTCATCCCTTATATGATAACCTATATATATATATATAAAACTCAAAATTTTTAATTTTCTATTCGATCGTTTCTCAATCGGACAAACTCTGTAAAATAATGTTAAAATGACGAGATTTAAGATGGTAGCTACGCCAAAGAGAAATGATGTCTGAAATTCGTTAAAGACTAAAGCCTATGAAAGCATAGATAATAGAAGAGAAGGATAGGCAACTCCATTGTCTCACAGCAAAAATTAACTTCATGTTGAAAGACAATGACATGCCCTATATGGAAGTAAATTCTATGGACACGTCACGATAAAGCGACCCACCACGTGACGGTAAAACGACTGATTAATTCAAGTCAGTCGTTGCTATTGGATGAATGCCTCATTATACAGAAAATACAATGCCGTGAATGACTTGAATAAATGAATAACGTGAACAAAAACATAGAACAATGAGTTCCCTATCCTTCTCTTCTATTATCTATGATGAAAGCTATACTTTAACGAATTTGCTATATGCGAGTGCATGCGGAAAAGCGGAAATCCATTTAAAAGTTTCCGCTTAGTTATGAGATATAATTAAATATAGATAAAAAGACATTAATTCTGTCATTTAGCTATAGAGCGCTAACACAAAATGAAACTGTATTGACAAGGTGAAAAAGCAAGGGTGGGTTGACTACAAAATTTTTGTAGTCAGCTACAACTACTGCTACTTTTGAACAAAGGTAGTTCGCTACTGACTACAGCTACTGCTTTAAAAATGTAGCGACTGTTTCGCTATTTCGCTACGCTATATTTTTTAGTTTTACTGTATTTGGAGCATCTACTAACTCAGGTTGAAATGTAACCTATAACAAATCGACTTACGAGTAGCAACAGTAAACACAAAGCAACATTTTTGTAAGCACTACAGTGTTCAAGAGTGCAAATTGACTATTGAGTATTGATTTTAAGCAAACCGTGTCTCAATATCATTCTATTCTATCAAGTTGCTAACAATTTTAAAAAGTAGCGAATAGCGATTCACTGTTTGAAAAGTAGTCAACTACTTGGCTACTTTTAGGCAAAATGTAGTTCGCTATAACTACAGCTACTGTTTTAAAAAAGTAGTCAAAAACTACTGGCTACATGAAAATTGTAGTTCGCTACAGTAGCGAACTACAACTACTTCGCTACTACCCACCCTTGTGAAAAAGATCTATTGCGACTTCACAGAACTTAAAAAGGAGTCGATATATGGATTATTGTAGTTTCGTAATGAACTAACACTATACGATATAATATCTATATATATAACCATGAACTTACTAGGTACAATTGATTCAGATTCTTTGTCAGCTGTAAACCTTGGTGAACTTTGACTATATATATAGTTTACACCAAAATTCTGGCAGGCACTTTGACCAGTTGACACTGCATGAGCAGACTGTAGTTCTTTAGGCTCTCGCAATTTCAACCAAAATGACCACGTATACTCTTGGTACCTCGCCTAGTAACATAACCGCGGGATGTTACGTAACTCGTTTTTTTAGTTGCACTCAAAGACGCACGCAACGGACACAAGTTGTGATAGGTTGGATGCAAAAAAGGTTTTCTCATGCAGATTGTTCATGCAGTAATGCCTCTTCAAATGATCAAGACAGGCTCGAAAAGGGCATGTCTTTCAAACAATCAGGATAGGCTCGAAAAGGGCATGTCTTTCACCTCTTTTATTCAATATCATTACCCGCACACGTATTGCTTAAGTAGTTCAGAATCACCGTTTCCGCATAGCGACCAAATATTAACAAAATTATTTAATTAAGTAAGACGATGTTTCCGGCAAGCACACTTTAAGTCTGTATAATAATATATATGCTGAAATCCGCTATCATTTATAACCACACATCGCTAAAGCTATATTAGTATATATAATGTAGACTGAGATGGCCGCCATCCTGTATAGACACCAACTGCCCTGAGTCTGCAGGTATATACTGAAATCCGCGATCTTAAGTCTTTTATAGCCACACGTATAGGCACACGCCGCCGTGGCTATATAAGGTGTACTAAAATGGTCACAACCATTTATAGACATCATGGATAATAAAATCAATGGATAAGAAACTAGCTGACTCACCCTAATGTTTTCAATGGGCTGATGGCGTGGTTGGATGTTCCAACCTAGTTGAAAACCAAATTCTCAAAAACGGCATGTTTAGCAATAATACAGCTAAACAATTTAGTCAAAGAGCAAATAAATAAAACCACGCCATTCTACGATGAAAACGCTAAGTATTCCCAGTCAATTTTAGCAAATATTTCAAGCACTAAACAGTGAAAAATACATCACAAATTTCGTTAAAATTTGTGACGCCAATTTCGTATAGCTACAAAAACATTTGCCTTGAATACTTTGTTGTGGCTTAGGCATGTTTTTAAAACAATTAGACCAGTTTATGCTTCAATATCACCCTTTTAAAGTGGAAAATGTAGCAAAACAACAAAAATGCCGAGAACTTTGGTAATATTCGCAATACGCGTGACGTCACGTTTTTCAACAAGGTTGCGGCCAATGACGTCAGAAGTTTCCTATCCAGTTATTTTACAATCCATGTAGACACCAACTGTATATAGCAATCACGTATTCTGAAATTCGTCTTCTTTTTCTTGGGTCTTATTGTTAGTTCCAATGTTATGGTTAATGTTGTCATCATCTGGGCCTAATAAACAACCCACCATTCAAATTGTATCGAAAGGTCAGCCATGAACAGTCGTTGCTATAAGCTATACTGAAATTCGGTTTGCTTTATACTGAAATCCGCTGTCCTTATAGCCACAAACCGCCCTGGCTATAAGGTATACTGATGTTCGATATGCTTTATATAGCCACAAACCGCCGTGGGTTTAAAGCATACTGAAATCCAGTATAGGCCACTATATAGCCACAAACGGCCGTGGTTATAAGGTATACTGTTATACTGAAATTCGGCATGCTTTATATGGCCACAAACCGGCGCGGCTATTAAGTATACTGAAATCCGTTGTCCTTTATAACAGGGCGCAAAAAAAGACGCATACCTTATTTTGGTATCTCATGAGCACGCTCATATACCACTTGCCCACAAGTCGATCTACTACCAAAATCAGGTGATACTGGTCGTTCTCATGAGCATACTGGATTTTGGTACATATATGGACGTGATTATGAGCATACCTTATTCCTACTGGTTGCCGCTTTCGAATTTGCATTTTTTGGAAAAACACTTGGTTGTTATTGGTTGTGACTGAACGGTACTAAATCCTGAATAAAATGAATGTCGATACATGCATGTCATCAATCGCTGTGAATAGTGTGGATATACTATACGGATTTAGTGGTGCAATCGCAAATTTCATAGTATGGATTTCACATTTTTCCCCAGTAATGACGTCATCTGCCAACGAGATGGATATATTCTTGTCATTATTACCATTAACATCGCCATGGCCAACGACGTTGCCGACACACGTAAAAACGCACAAGTTAATGGACCATTTGCATTATAGACTAAATTTTGATCTAGACAAAAATTTCATCACACCTTGAAAGAGCATCACAAAATTAGTAATATTCCAAAGTTTCGTTGCGAAATGTTGTAAAATGCGGATAATATAACCTTGCGAAATTTGCCATTTTCAGTCATTTTGTATTACAAACGGGAAATTGATGCCCCAACACCCGATTGGGACCCGTGCGTATAATACAAAATGACTGAAAAACGGCAAACTTCGCAAGGCTATATTATCCGCATTTTATACAACATTTCCCAACAAAACTTTGGAATATTACTAATTTTGTAATGCTCTTTCAAGCTGTGATGAAATTTTTGTCTAGATCAAAATTTAGTCTATAATGCAAATGGTCCATCGTTACAGGTCTGCAAACAAGTTGTTACAAATCTGTTCACAAGTTGTCAACAAGTTGTGTTCGCACTGCTTGTTCCCAGTTGTTGTAACAAGTTTGAAACAAGCTGTTAACAACTTGTAACAAGCTTGATGGCATTATCAGACTTGTCACAAGGTTGTTCTAACAAATCTGGTACAGTCATGATATTACAAGGTTGACGACACAAGGTTGTAACAATACAACTGCTTTATCATGATTGTATCGGACTTGTTCGAACAACCTTGTAACACTGATAATATCAACAAGGTTGTTACAAATTGTTAACAGCTTGTTCCAAACTTGTTGACAACTTGTGACAAGCAGTGCGAAGACAACATGTTGACGGCTTGTTGACAACTAACTTGTTACAAGATGCGAGATTTTTGCGGGTGTAGAAGCGTGGCATATTAATATGAGTACTAATCATAGATGGTACTAATGCTTTGAATAGGGATGACGGTGCTTATTTGCGACAAGAGCGTATCATCTCGTTTGCAGAAGACGTCATCCCATGGGTATATAAGAAGCCATGTTGAAACTTCAGATCACCCGGCTTGAAGAAGACACTACTGTAGACTGGATTGTCGAAACGTTGGGTTGTGAATGCAATTCGACTGCGTTTTGCATTCATTTATATTAATTTAAACTAATAGCGAATGTGATAGTATATTATGTTTGTGATGTTACTCTGAGTGTACATCCAATCGGACAAGCTTGAAAAATATGCCTGGCCACGGCTTGTATACGTGATATACACTCAGAGTAACATCACAAACAATCAAACATCATATTCACCTGTACATAACACCAACACCGAAAAAAAAAAAATATCGCATGAATGTGATAGCGTTCGCAACACGCGTTACCATACGAGGTATATAGTGAAAGCAGACCTTAATGAATTCACTATATAGACATCAGAAATCTATGGACCTTTCTTATAATGACATCAAACGCAAATCTATGTGATGTCCCACCAGACAATGTAAGTCGTTGGCGAGCCAATAATTTCATAGAAACATCATATGCATTGCGAATTATCGAGTTTGTCGCTAAAAAATTGTCTTTGACGTCGTAAAAAGAAAGGTCTATTCACATTCAAGAGGCCGACAGTGGGTCTAATATTTTCATAAAATATTAGACTAAATTTGAAAAGCGGAATTAGAACTGTCTTTACCACCGCACAAGCAACATATTATCTACTCGTTTGGCGCCCTTTTTTCACAGAAATCCTACGACGCTCTTCCGATCTATTGTACAACTATCCAATATTTGTTATAATAGACTACTGGTAATTGTTCAGGAATTGTATTCATTTACTTAAACCAGTGCATGTATTGTATCACTGTCACTCGGGCCTGTTTCAAACGTCACGCTTCTCATGTGCCGAACGCATTAAAAACAATAGATAATCAGCTGAAATGCCTCATTATCTATATTGTTTCTAATGCATTCGGCGCATGAGAAGCGCGACGTTTGAAAAAGGCCTCACACTGTATGACATATCCTGTGACAAAATTCAGTTCATCATCGAAATATTTACTTACTATAAAAAGTCATATTGCTTTATAGTATTTGTTTTGATGTAGTTTTAACTTTCACAGATCGACAGACCTTCACAAGATGACAAGCTGTGTATTGGGAACTGTCATTTTATTTGCTCTAAATTTGCTGCCATTTCCGTGTGAGGGTATGTTGTTGAACTTATGAGTGACGCATATCTATTCTAGCGTTATTTAACCCTTTCAGTACAGCAATGCACCCCGATGCGCCCTACTTTATTAGTTTACTCTGTCTAACGCCAGACGACTATTAAAAAACGAGACGGAGAGATTATTAAAAAAATAAAAAAGGTCATCAAGTTTATAGATTAGGGACCGGTCATTATTTATGGCGGGGGGTGGCACCGAAGAGAAAAGGGTTGGGTAAACTAAATTTTGAGTAACTAAAAGGTTGGGTAAATGAAAAACAAAACAACTCAAGGGTTGGGTAATAAAAAGTTATTGTCATTTCCAAAGCATGACTCACTTAAATATTGGAGACTGAAAAGCAATGTCAACAGTCATATGTCAATACAATATGTGAATCAATCAGAGTCACTATCTTGATCATTTTCCGATTTGTTGGGAGACAAATGGTGTCTCCAAAGAAAGTACATGTACATACAATATGAAAGTTTAGTTATCAAACTTGTGTCACAAAAGTGGTAAAGGACATGTGTGACAACTGAATGGTATTCTTTTGTAAAGGTTTTGGCCAGGGGTGGGTATTTATTTTTTAATTGATACTTGAGGTTGGGTAATCAAATTTTTTGCTTTTTAATGGTTGGGTCAGCAAAATTTTTACCACGAAAAACATTTCTCTTCGGTGCCACCCCCATAAATAATGACCGGTCCCTTAGTGTCAGATAAATATTAGATTAGGGTTAGATTAATTAAGATTATGTTATAGGGTTAGGGTTCAACATGTGTCGTGAATTGATCATCTTAATATTTTCGGACGTGTTTAACAATTTACTCATATAGTAAATTCAAAGGTGGAGCTCATGCTGGCAAATATATGCTGTCATCTTCAAAACAGATACTTGACGGGAAACTCGGTCTCACAGTTAAACGGCAAAAACCGAAATTCGGTTGTTTGACTTCATCCTGGTGAGCGGGCTGGCCGGGGTGTTTATACGGGAAATTTTCATCCAAATTTAACCGAGATCTCGGCAAGCGGGCGAGCTCGATTTCGCATATATGAACACAATGCAAAATTTTATAGAAAGGAAGGCTAGGCGGCGTAAGTAACTAAGACGGACATACGTTTTCTAATATGAATTCGGCTAACATGCAACTGATTTGTCGCGGTATCCCGTTTAGGAACGATCACCTCATTACCTGATGGGACCAGATTGACTTTTTTAACTGGATCAACTGAGAAAATACAGTGGACATTTGATGATGATATATCTTTAAACGTCAAAAGAGGGCGATTTCGGCGGTCTTGGTATTTCACAAGTAGTGACGGTTCGCAAAGAGAACGACTAATTACAACAATATATCTTGATCGTGAACCTCTAATATTGAACAGCACTTTACCTGGGATTGCAATAGAAAAACCAGCAACATTGGTTTTAAAAAACATTGATCTCAAACATAATGGGACTTACCGGTTTAAACTAGTAGTAAGTAGTCCACAGTCTAAACCGGCGGTGACTACATCTCACGAAGTTGTGGTTTTTATTGCAGGCAAGTGGTCCACCTTTCATCATTATTATTTTTCTCCAAATTCTTCTCTAACTCTTGTGTATCAACGGTCGACAAACTGTAATTAAAGTATTAGCCAACAGCAAAGAGTTTCCTGAGACAAGGTGTAGGCGACGTATAGTATTGCTTAAAATGGAGATTTTTATAACTATAACTATAACTATAATTATAATTATAATTATAATTATAATTATAATTATAATTATAATTATAATTATAATTATAATTATAATTATAATTATAATTATAATTATAATTATAATTATAGTTATAGTTATAGTTATATATAGTTATAGTTATAGTTATAGTTATAGTTATAGTTATAGTTATAGTTATAGTTATAGTTATAATTATAATTATACAGCAAATCAACATATCGAATTTATAAATATATCGAAGAAAGCTAGGTATCGAGAGACGAGAGCATTTTAAAAGTTTTTTTTTATCTGAATGCATAGGATAATAGCTTTTCTAAATTTCCTTTAACTATTTTAAATTCTCGAACTTAATTTCAGCAAATTTACTGTAGAAAATTTCTTTACCGACTCCGATCCGGCACGATCAAATCTCAAATATAGCTAAATGAATCAACACCTTTATGAAAGGAAAAATTTACAAAAATTAGACGTGGTTTGCATTATTACTGTACATTAATTTTATTTCAGTGAAGCCAACTGTGACATTGAGTTGTTCCAGTTCTATCATCGAAAATGAAGGTGATGACTTCACATGTGTATGTAGAGGTGAAGGTGGAAACCCTCCAGCCAATGTAATTTGGTTTAAAGATGGCGTCCAGATTGGTGCAACAGGAAAAGAAGAACAAACATTGACTGTGAGTAATGTTGATGGGACAGATAGTGGACAATACAAGTGTATGGCCCAAAGTCACATCAATGCAACCGATGAAAAATCAATCGAAGTAAAAGTGAGACTTAATTGTAAGTATAATTGACACACGGCCATTAATACTGGACAATGTTTCAGCTTCCCACTGCTTTAAATAGTGATAAAATTTTAAATTGGGAATCTAATCTCATGATAACCTTGCCTAAATGCCCTTACTCGTCAGGAATGCACCAGATATCATATCCGGCCAGATAGCTAGTGAGATAATTTCATCACGTATTCGGCTGGATCGACCCCGGACATTGTTTACATATTAAAGGTTCGGGCCTTCTTTTCCGTTGGAAAAAGTATTGTTTCAGTTCATTAACGCATTTCCGCCCAAAATATAAAGTTTTACATTTACATTATCTTTTTAAAATGTATTACTAACAAAGACGTTTTGTTTCTTCACAGTTAAGCCTAACAAGACAATCATTACGTTACCAGACACAGCTGTAGTTGGTAAAAAAGTTATCATAACGTGTGAATCTGATGGTCTTCCGGAACCAAGTTATACCATAATTCATAATGGAACTGAGGTCAGCAGTAAAAAGACGCACACCATATCTGAAGTGAAACGGAGTGATGCTGGGTTATATCAATGTGTTGCAGCGAATAAACTTGGCAGTAATTCAAAGAGCCATTGTTTGGCCGTCGTAGGTGAGATTTAAGTATGATAACCCACTATTATTCATTCAAAGTAACCAGGGACGTAGCAACTGGGGGGGGTATGTTTGGGGATGCAAATCCACCCAACTGTGAACCTCAGGCAAAAATCAGGTAAATTCAAGTTAAAATTTTGACATTTTCAGGTAACATTTGCGTAATAAAGTCATTATTTTTGTGAAATGATAACCATTTTTGAAAATTCAGTCAATTTACATCCAAGTCGTTCGCGAATTTGCTTTAGAAAACTGGCAGAAATGCAGTCCTAGAGCTTCAAAAATGTAAAAACAAAAAGCTTTATTATAATTATTAGACTTCAGGTAAATTTTCAGTAACATTGAAGTTCAAATTTCAGGTGAAATCCTCCGACACCCCCAACTTCAGATTCTTCGCTACGTCCCTGAAAGTAACCAACTATTTCAAAACCAAAATGTTAACATTTAATGATCTTCTTTTAACCGTGACCTAGATCTATAGGCACTTGCTCATATCGTATCAAAATGCACAAATCAAAATGCACAAAAATGTCATGGTATCTTTCCATTTTTTTGCATCCATTTAAAAGTTTTGGCTTTTCAACTAATTTTTAACTCGTGCATTTCCCAAACCTGCCTGTTTAGGAGAGCCTGCAGCTTGTAAGAAGTTGGATTGTGAGAGCAGCGCAGAAACTGTTGTAGTAGTATGGCATATTGTTGTGACTTTGGTGTCTGGAATTATCATTGGTATTCTCTTTTCCTACATTGTCTGGTCTTCTCATCGTCGTTGGTTTAGAAGCAGAAAGCCAGAACGAAACCCTGAAACAAACACAACTGCAGCTGATACAACTTATCAAGAGCTTAATCTTACACAAATGAACAAAGAAGATAATTATCAATCGTTGAGATTGAATATTGCAAGTAATGACGAGGAATCAACATATACTGAGTTGAACAAAACCAGAGACGAAGAAAACTACTAGAGTGTACAATCTTCATAGATATCTTATATAAGATATCTTTGACAATCTTTAATTTGAAGTTGGAATATTAAATTATGAGTGTAACAATCTTTAATTTGATCCTGGAATATATTAAATTATGAGTGTTCAATCTTTAATTTGATCCTGGAATATATTGAATCATGAGTGTTCAATCTTTAATTTGATCCTGGAATACTAAATCATGAGTGTTCAATCTTTAATTTGATCCTGGAATACTAAATCATGACTGTTCAATCTTTAATTTGAACCTGGAATATATTAAATCATGTGTGTTCAATCTTTAATTTGATCCTGGAATACTAAATCATGACTGTTCAATCTTTAATTTGAACCTGGAATATATTAAATAATGTGTATCAAGGCCTTGATGACCATAGTCAACAGCATAAAGAACACGGAAGTGCTGGAGAAACTCGACTGCATGTACAACAGAACTCATTACTCAGATTTCTATTGGTTTACGTCAGTTTGAGCCCTGTTCAAACGAGTTGGATTGAGTTGATTTCAAAGAAGTTGGATTGGGTTGACTTAAAATTCTCATCCACAATTTCCATCCACATTTAAGCCAACCCAATCCAATATCTTCCAACAACAGCCAGCATTACACAACATTGTGCTCAAACGAGGCCAGCATTTATACAATTTTAATTTTTTTATACAAATTTAATTTTTTTAATTTGGACCAACATGTTGGCCTTGTTCAAAGAGGCCTTAATTTATATATAGTCAGTTAATTGTCACGTGTGTATTTTTTTGTCAACTATTTAACCAAACAGCTATACTGTATAGATGAAAGTCTGTTCGAAATGTTTAGTTGGTATTCACCCCATTATTTCATGGTGGGCTCCATATTCAAGGCTATATTCAGTAATTATTTTCTGGCGGTACTATTAGTTTCCGGACTGGCATATCTCCTATTGCAGTGCCGGTTGGTTATATGTGGGAATGAGATAGTGTTTGCAACCGATGAGTTATCTTATCATGCAAGATATGATGAAAGCACAGTGTAGAGTGTATTGGATAAGGTGTAGACCTTTCTTATAATGACGCGAAACACAGAAAACCAAAATCTATGCGATGCCCCACGTGACAATGTAAGACGTTGTTGGCTAGCCAATAATTTCATAGAAACATTTGCAATGCAAATTATCGCTAAAAATTGTCTTACGTCATTACGAGAAAGGTCTATTCACAGGAGGCAGACAGTGGGTCTGTAATATTTGCATACAATATCCGATCGTATTTGAAAAGCCGGAAGAACTTTACATCATACAAACAACACATTATATAGCGTTTGGTGCCCTTTTTTATAGAAATAGGCTACTATATTATAGCAGGTATGGTATAACTATCCAATATTTGTAATTTTTTGTAATAGACTACTGCATGGTAATTGTTCAGGAATTGCATTCACTTACTTACATAACCAGTGCATACATGTATCACTGTCTTCACTGGCACTGTATAGCTATTAGATAATAGATAACCGGTACAAAATTCAACTGATTAAATTGTGTAAATTCATCATCGAAAGATTTACTTACTATAAAAAGTCATATTACTTTATGTTGTCTGTTTTCATGTAGATTTAAACAAGATATAGATGACAAACTGTGTATTTGGAACTGCCATTCTATTTGATTTAAGTTTGCTGCCATTTCCGTGTGAGGGTATGTTGTTGTATGTTGTTTCCATGCATGCATGTGAGTCAGGCATGATCTGTGCCGGTGTATAGGTATTGCCAATAATAACGAGCTTTCGTTGGTAGGACCTGAAAAATATATGCTCGTCTTAAAATTATATCGGACAAATAAATCAAGCAGAGTTTAGAGACCATTCATTATTTATGACGGAGGTGGGT